CCCCACACCCCTCACTGTAACACCGATATACCCCACACCCCTCACTGTAACACCAAAATACCCCACACCCCTCGCTGTAACACCGATATTCCCCACACCCCTCACTGTCACACTGATATACCCCACACCCCTCACTGTAACACTGATATACCCCACACCCCTCACTGTAACACCGATACACCCTACATCCCTCACCTTTACACCTGAGTCCAGTGTATCAATTCAGTCAAACTGTCACAAAGTCAAATCTGTACTCAGTCCAACTAGATCTATTTAATGTGCTGTTGGCTCACTGAAATATGCATGAATTTATTGTTAAGCACAGCAGTTAGGTAATGTCAGTATCTAACTCTGCTGTTCCAGAGGAATTAATCGTTTCAATAATTATTTCTTGAAGATTTGCGATGTGATTTCAAAGTGGGAACAAGCACTAAAGGAACTACACCCCGGTAAATATGAAAGTAACAGGATTGTACGGCTGATATATAAAAGCAGGTAAGATCATAGATTGACAGATAACACTACATCCCACAAAGCATTGTGCCTCTGTTTATACTATACACTCTCATGCCTTATCCCTCTGCTTAGACGTTACTACACAGTATGCTATCCCTGTCTTTATGACACACTTTACTGCATTATCCCTCTGTTTATAATAGACTTCATTATGAGTTATCCCATGTTTATAACACACTCGACAGTACATTGACCCTGTCTTTATAGTATGCTCCACAGTGAGTTTGTACCCATGTTGAGAATATACTCCACAGTGCATTATTTCTACATTTGTCATATTCCATATGATGTGCTATCCCTGTGTTTCTGGTGTAACAGCGCTGTATCCAAGTAATTAATATACAGTGTATGCCATATCCCTGTGCTTATGACATATACTGTGCGGTGTTGCAACCTTGTAGTCTGCTCACACATGGTGCTGTACCCGTTTCGATTATATGTAACATACCTCTGCCGTTGTCAGTCCTTCTTTCTCATCACTATCAACAACTGTTTGCCCATGTCTCTTTTCGACAGATTGATTCTCACTGACATGCACCTCCAGTGCCACTTGCTGGCCACACAGCGTTATACGCAATTACAAAACCGCAACTGACAACCCTGTGAGAAACACTGAATCAGATAATAAGCTAGTCCTCATTCACGACCGCGTGAGCCTCAGTACACACCGCAGGCTGTTTCCCGCACCTTGTCGCTTGTCCCTGCTGTGTGTACTGCGTTGTCTTTGTTAGCCGTCTGTTTCATTGATGACACTGTTTATGTTGTTTGGCACAGAATGTATTTCAGAGCTCAGGCGAAGGGCGAAACGGAGCGAGAGCGCCTCCTGCTGACCTATCAGGTTAATGATGAGGTGGTGAATGGACGATTCCCTGTGAACAAAGACCTAGCATTGGAGGTGACTGCTTTAATGGCACAGGTTAGTGTTTGGCTCAGAGAGCACTCAGTCTAGTGTGTATTACTCTTGCAGGTAACAAGGCTATTCAAGCTCTCTGTTCAAAGGGTCCAATCCTATTCTTTCTTTCATATTTCTCCTCCGTATCCCGTGCTGTCCTTCCTTTCTGTCGTAAACGCCCCTGTGCTCCTATTGCACTCTCTCACTCTCTTATATTCCATTTCTTGCTCTCGTGTTGCTCATATCACAATCATCTCTGTTCTGTTTTTATCCCACTCTTTCTCTTGTGCCTACCTTGCTGTGAGGTATGTAAGGATATCACAGATTTTAATTTTCCACATCTTTTCCCATGGAATCATACAATGAATGCAGCATTGAAGAACCCCATCTCAATTGCAGAGATTTTTGTTTCATCTTTAGCCACTGGTGAAGTTCCAGAAGACTGGAGGGTGGCTAATGTTGCTCCACTGTTTAAGAAAGGTAGCAAAGACAAGCCAGGGAACTCCAGGCCAGTGAGCCTGACATCAGTGTTAGGCAAGTTATTGGAGAGGACACTGAGGGACAGGATCAACTGTTTGGATAGTCAACATCTGATTAGGGATAGTCAGCACGTCTCCCTTTATCCAGTTTTCCTCTGAAAGCAACTCTCTATTTTTTTCAGGTGAGGTATTTTGAATTGTAACCCCTGCATGTGAAAAGTTCTCCTCATCTTGCTCCTTGCCTTTTTGCCGATTTATCTCAAACCTGTTGCCCCGTGGTCTCCGGTTCCCCCTCCTCTTGTAGCCAACCTGTGTTTCCCTGCAGGAGCGCCTGCTACATCCACGAGCCAGCCCAAGTGATCCTGCAGGGTGGACCTAATGCTTTTTTTTTAAAAAATGGCTTCCCAGCAAATTTCTAGGGAGCTAACTCCTCCCCCCCACTTGGTGGTTCTTAGCTTCATTGCCCATCCCTAGTTACATGTTTTCTTATCAACCTGTTCAGCCCTCCTGGTTCACCCATTCCTGATTATCCTTGAGAAAATGGTGGTGAGCCACTTCTTTGAACTGCTGCAGTCCTTGGCATGTTGCAATACTGTTAAGAAGGGAATTTCCAGGATTTTGACCCAGCAACGCTGAAGAAATGGGATATATTTTCAAGTCAGGAAGGTGAGTGGCTCGGAGGGGAATTTTCAGGTGGTGGTGTTCCTTGTATCTGCTCCCCTTGTCCTTCTAGACAGTAATTGTAGAATCCCTACAGCATGGTGCAGGCCATTCGGCCCACCAAGTCCACATCAACCCTTAGAAGAGCATTCCACCCAGACCCTACCCCTGCATTTCCCATGGCCAATCCACTTAGCCTGCACATTCTTGGACTGCAGAGCATCCGGAGGAAACCCACGCAGACACGGGGAGAATGTGCAAACTCCACATGGACAGTCGCCCGAGGGTGGAATCGAACCCAGGTCCCCAGCGCCGTGAGGCAGCAATGAGCCACTGTGTCGCCCCAGTAGAGGCTTGGATTGGGAAGGTGTTGCCGACGGACACCTCTTGTTGAGTTGCTGCCATCTTTAAGATGGTACACAATGTTGCCGCTGCGCGTTGACAGTGGAGGCACTGGATGTTGACGGTTATGTTTCGGGGTTTGTAATATGCGCTGTTGTGACTCCTACAGGTGGAATATGGTGACCTGGCACGCCCCATTCCTTCCAGTCCAGGGAGCAGCTCCCAGTCTAAGACACACCAGTTTCTGCAGCAGGTTCTGGAGAAATTCTATCCAAGGCACTACAGACAAGGATGCACGCCACAACAGATCAGGTAGGCCTGGCCTCGTCTTCCCCGATTTCTTTGACTGCACCAGTGCGTTCTCTCTGCTTTGACCAAGTAAAATCAACGATTACAACGTAGCTCAAAAGTAGTGTAGCATCCTTAGGCCTTTGTCTGATACAACCTCAGGTTAGGAAATGGTTTACGTCAGATTGTTAGCCAAAATCACAGTTCATTGGACTGAAAGCAGTGTTGACTTGGTTAGGAGATTGGCTGGGTGATTAGAGCAGCAATAATGATAATGTACTCACGGGATGACTAGTGGTGTACCATAATGATCTGGGTTGGGGCCCTAACTACTCACTATTTATTCTTGTCTTGGCTAACACAACCAGAAAACCACATATCCCAGTGCAGTAGTTGATTAAGCAATGTAGATGGGAACATTAATAGCTTTATCGAGTGGGCAAACTGTGCCTGAATGTCAACTTAGGGAAAGTGCTGTTGAGCTGCTATTATTCATATTGTAGTACTGTATAACAATCACATATTGTGTGTAGGCATTGTATTGTATCTGTGCAGACCACTGCCCCTCAGGAAGAATATATTGGTCTTTGAAAGGGTGCTGTAACCATGGACCAGAATGATTGCTGGGCTTAACAAGCTCAAATTATGAACGCATATTGGATAGAGCAGAGTTGTATTCCCTAGAGTTTTGAAGATGGAAGGTATTTAAGATACTTAAAAGATTCAGCAAGGTATCTATACCATCTGCTTGTAGCAGGGAGTCAAGACCAAGAGAAGATACGCTTGAAGTTAAATGAAAAGATCAGGAGTTAGGTATGGGGCTACTTTTTCCACAGAAAGAGCAGGGCAGTGGAAATCCTATCCCAGAAGGCCATGGGATGGGACCCTTGGTGCCTGTAGGCAGATGGTTGTCTTTTTTTTAACAGGATGACCTCAAGCGACATGGAACGACAGCGGGAGAATGGAGTTTAGATCAGCCATGTTCTGATTGAATTCTGGAACTGGAGAGCTAAACAGAAATCTCCTCCTGTTCCAAATGTTCCAATTATTTCCAACGAGCCGAGAGGAGTCAGCAAAGGGAGGGCAGGGAATGATGACGGGCGAGGGGGCAGTGAGGTGAAGGTAGTGGTTTACGAGGGCAGACCTACGCCTGCATTTACCTAGATAACCATGGTGCTGTTTCTCTTTGTGATATTGACCGTCTCTACTCAAACAGGCGACTGGCAGATACGCTGGCCACCAAATGGATGCTTCTGAGGGGTTGCAGTGGAGCTGACTGCGTACGAATCTACCTGACAGTCGCCCGCAAGTGGCCACTCTTTGGAGCAAAACTCTTCACGGCGAAGGTAAAGTCTAAATGACGGACACAATGAACAGGTGGAAGGAAAGCTGCCTGAGGAGTAGGATTGAGTAGGATTTAAAGATCGTAGTTGAGCCTCTCCGTCACCAAGACTGCATACTTTCATCATCCATTTTCTGCTGAAACTGTCGTCACTTCTTAACTCTCAATTCAACCACCAACAATTTCCCAGGCAGCTTCCACCCAAGCACACAGAAGCAGGTCACTTCGCCCAACCCATCCCTGCCTGTGTCTGTACTTCACTTGGATTTCCTTGCACGTTGCTCCCGTCTGAATCGACCTCTGTTCCCTTCTGCCTCGTGTCCGGCGTCCCCTTAAATGCATCTTACAGTACCCTCTGTAAGACCTGGCACCCCACCCCAAGAAAACAAGACTTGGCTTAGTAGCTGCCATCTGTCACTTCTGTGCAAGCCTTAAGCCTTTGCAGATTGAAGAGGCTAACTATGTTGAGGCTTTTAATTGCAAAATCAGGGTATGACAGAAAAGCAGATAACAATCAGAATTGCCATAGACAATAGGAGAGGTGTCTGATAAGGAACTGTTCTGTGTCACAGTGGCCATCATATCACCATTAGCATCTTTTGAAGGCAGCTATATTTGTGTAGCACAGGGTCTTCATGTCAGTTCACTGAACACCACGGAAAGATCATTGTTCTGTTCATTTGGCCCTCTCCAAATCAGATCCTGATATTGTAAACCTCTTCTACACTTTTACCAGACCTTGACAGGCTTCTTAAAGTTTGCTGCACGGAACTGGCACGATTTCCTGGATGAGAACTCAAGCAATTTACATCGTTGTAACATAATGACAGTGTTACAGTAATAAAGCTTCTTTAAAATCAGCAATAACTTAGGTTTCTGGATTACTACCCGAGCCTTGGGTAAATGGTCGTGGTGTGACTAAGGGTAGAGGGTTAAACGTGCAGGAGAAATGGGTTTTGCTTCGTGGGACATTGTCACAAGTACTGGAGAAAGAAGGGGTTCGACTGTTAGGGTGTCGGGGAGGGGGGAGCCAGTGGTCCAGCAAGGTGTATAACCAGAGAATTGGAGAGGGCCTTACACTCAGTAGTGGAGCTGAGGGATCAAGTGGGGAGGATGCGATAACTTAACAGGAGAGAACAAGGTAAGAGAGCAGATTGCAAAAAGGGAACTGACGACTTGGATAATGCAGTGTGGAGCTGGAGGAGCACAGCAGGCCAGGCAGCATCAGAGCAGCAGGAAAGTTGATGTTTTGGGTCAGGACCCTTCTTACAGAAATCCCCACCACTGCCCTCACCTATCACCATCCCACCTACCTTCCCCAGCCCCACCCCTCCTCTCTCTATTTATTTATTTCTGAGCTCCCTTCCCTGTCCCCCATTTCTGAAGAAGAGTCCCGACCTGAAATGTCAACTTTCCTACTCCAATTGATGACTTTAGTGTGGAAGGAACGGACAGTTTACAAACTTCAGAGGGTGCCACCTTCGTAGAGGATTATTATTAGAGGATGTGAAAATCATAAAATGATCCTTACCCTGAATGAGGGGGGTTCTAGAACCAGACAACTGTCTTAAAATAAGGAGCAGGCCGTTTCGCACTGAGGTGAGGAGGAATTTCTTCACTCAGAAGCTGCCGAATCTTCGGAATCCTGGGCTGTGGAAGTTCAATCATTGACAGGTATTAGACAGATTTAGAGAAATTGAGGGCATCGAGCGATATGGAGATGTTAAAGGAAACTGGCACTGGGGTGAATCAGCCACGCTGAGCTGAATAGCTGAACAACCTCAAGGGGCCGAATGGCCTGCTCCTGCTTCATGATTATTGTAATATTGATTTTTAACACTGCTGGCTTCCACCAATTTTCCATTCTGTTTTTTTTTTCCCCCTGCTAATAGCCAAACCAGTGCTGACATATTCCAGGGTCCAGTTTCAGCCACTTTTTCACCTTGAAGTGTAGGACAAGCCTGAGTGTATGCTAGGCAGGTTAGTGTGACTCAGTGTAATGTCATGTGGAGGAAATAAACAATCCTGCTGTAGCTTCTTTCCAGGCTTTTTGCCCCTCCCATAGAATCGCGTGATGCTTTTTGCCTCTCTGTGAGGCTCTAACCAATCCTTTTCATCTGTCTCCAGCCAGTTGCCCCCTCACCCCTCGACGAGAAGCCTGTGTGGTTAGCAGTGAATGAAGATGGTGTCAACATCTTGGAATGCAGCACAATGGTATGAATCCACTTTGGCAGATACTAGGCCCTGTTTGAATCTGTTGCATGCTGACAAAGAGAAAGTGGGTTTGGTACGATGGTACATTATCCGCATGAGAGCACAATGATCCTATCCCTGTATATGTATTTGCGTGTGTGAGAGTGTGTGTGTGTGTGTTAGACCTTTGTAATGAGGAAAATGCTTACTCATGTGGAAGCCCTCTGCACCCTTAAAGATTGATGGTCAGCCTGGGTGACTGTGTTCTGCTACAGCTTCTGTGGCCACCAAGTCCTCGGATTGGTTCTTGGACCTGGTGCTTCTGGACCAGAGGCAGGACACTACCACTGTACCACGTGATCTGTCCCAATATTCCTCTTAAAGCCAGTACAAGTTAGCTAGTCCTGAACTTGTAGGCTGGCTCATGTCAAATAGACCCTGACCTGGGGTAAGATTGCTCAAGTTTAATATAGGCCTAACCCATGAAGGGGTATGAAACATCGCCCTCTATCACTGTCTCCCAGATACAAACTTTTATCGTAATGTCAGCCTCCAAATGCCTCATAAAACAGAAGGCAAACTTAAAAGAGAGATTTGATGTAAAAATCGCTAGTTTTTTTTCAGACATCAGCACAGATTGTCAATAAAAACCAAACGAACTGCGGATGCTGTAAACCAGAAGCAAAAACAGAAGTTGCTGGAAAAGCTCAGCAGATCTGGCAGCATCCGTGAAGAGTTAATGTTTCAGGTCAGTCCTGAGGAAGGGTGACTGGACTTGAAACGTTAACTTTGATTTCTCTTCACAGATGCTGCCAAACCTGCTGAGCTTTTCCAGCAACTTCTGCTTTAGTACAGATTGTCAGTTGGGTTTATAAACCTCATTAGTGGTTTATTTAATCTCTAAAACTGTATTAATGCACCCAAAAGTGCTCAATAATTTGTTTTTAAATGCCAGCTGTGAACTTTGCATGCATTGAGCAAGGAACCAGGCATTGTCATTATTGATTGAAACTGCTACTGACTTACAGAATGAAACCTTATCCGCGTCTCCTGGCTTAATGCAATAATGCATTAAGAAAATGCTTATCCACAGTGCAGTAACATAACTACCTACAAACTTGAGTTATTTAAATTATGATGGGGGCAGTCAAGTTGATGTAAGCAGGTGAGTAGTAATTGATAGCTAAAGATCTGCTGATCAATCCAGCCTTGCCGTGCACAGTTATTATACCTTCGTTATCACTCTATATACACTCTCCTAGCCAAAACTTCTAAAGATTTCCACAACCAGTTTTAATCATCAGCTTGATTTGCAATATTCAGAAATGAACACATAGGTGGTTAGTGAACAGTACAAGTGCGCACTGTTGTTTCAATACTAATAGATGGCAATTTCTGATTCTCCACGACTCTCGATGCGGGGATGGGTCTGGTGATGCACTGGTGGTTACTCTATCTGAACCGGGGGGTCCCACTCCGAGACTTAATGGGCTTGGAAGGTGCGTCATAGCACAGATTCACCCACAGAAAGGTAGTAAGAGTGGGAGAGTTTCTTGGCCAACCAGAATGTGAGGTAGCTGCAGTGGAACAGCCATCCCATGCGGGGACATGCCTCAAAACCCTATACGGTAAACAGTACAAATCAAGAAATAATAATAAGCAGGCGGCAATATATAAAACACACAAACTATAGTTTGGAATTGAAAGGCACACCAGAAGACAAGGAGATAGTAGGAACTGCCGATGCTGGAGAATCTGAGATAACAAGGTGTAGAGCTGGATGAGCACAGGAGGCCAAGCAGCATCAGAGGAGCAGGAAGGCTGACGTTTCGGGCCAAGACCCTTCTTCAGAAAAATGAAGACAAGTATTTTTTTCAAGCATGAATCATGAAGAGAATTGAACAGAGGGGGCAGGACTGCAGTGTCTGTAAGTGAGGCGCTGTCAACAGTGAGGAAATTAAAATCACCACAAAACCTGGTGTTGCAGAAGGGAAGGGAGATGCAGAAAGCTGGAAATCAGGCTCAACGATTGGAATTCATCTCCCTAAGGGCTTCCATACAGCCTGAACCAAAATGGGGAAAGACAGCACTAGGATTGTGACCCCATCCACCCCCCTCCTCAGCTCATCATCTCCAGCCTTTCCCCTACAGAGAACTTATAACTTTGTTAACATGTTCCAGCTGCAGCAAGGCTGGTTAACAGCGCTGCTCCCCTGTACAACCAGGTCATCAATCGTAAAGCAACCTGATCCGACCCGGTTTCCCTCAGGAATACCAGCCGCGGGGGGGGGGAGCGAGAAAAACATAGACTTTTCATCAAAGTCCCTCGTGAGACCAGATTTGGCTGCGAGGTCGCAATCATTTCGCAAGGGCTGATACATCTGCATGATAAAACGGACGCCCACATTGATCCATGACTGTACAATTCCTCGTCACCGTGGAGCAGCAGGTGGGCGCGGACCCAGTCACTACTGACAGAAGGTCTCCTTTTGTGTTGCTTTCAGCATCCTGTGGTAAATTATCCCTATCCCTCGGTCTTGACTTTTGGAGGTTGTCGCGATGACTTTATGATTGTGGTCAGCAAAGCCAAGGACGGGAACCCAGTGAAAACCACCGTTGAGAAACTGGTGTTTGCCATGGTGAAGCCTAAGGTAAGGAGCTTTTAGACTGATCACTCTGTTACTGAGATACAGAAACCTTTCTCATCCCAGAAACCTACGGCACAGGCAGCCAGCCAAATCACTGAGTTTGATACTGGCTACTCTTCCAAAGAATTACCCATTGAGTCCCGCTCCTCTGCTCTTAACCCATTGCCCTGTTACTGTTAGTTTCCTTTTTGAGTATGTGCCATATTTCCTTTAGAATCCTTGGATCTGCATTCAACCCCCTTTGAAACATTGGGTGCCCGATCCTCATAATCTGCTTCACAAAAAAAAAGTCCTCAGCACCCATCTCTTTGTTTACCTTCAATACTACCTTCAATTTGTTTAGAATTAGAATTAGGTTTCATTGACACGCCTACTCAAGTACAGGGATACAGGAGTACAGTGAAAAGTGTATAATCTCCCCATTCATGGCGCCTCCTTAGGTACAAGGTACAAAGTAGAAAAATAAGGAAATAAAGTTAATAATTCATCATTAGAGTTCTTCTTAGTATAAAGTAGGAAAATAAAGAAATAAGGTTAAAAGTTCAACATTGCAGTCCTTCTTAAGTGCTTAGCTATTCTGGGCTTCCATTCTCCACAAGGGATCCATCTCCCTGTGCTCAATGCCACTGCAGTTACCAGGAGACCTCGAGCTCGCTCTCCTGTGTTAGACTTGCTCTCTTCCTCTCCCTCACACACTCTCACTGTCCCCTTGCACTCTCACCACCACCCCTTGCACACTCTCGCTCTCCGTCGTGTTCGGCTCTCTCGCTCTCCTTTGTGTTGGGCTCACTCTCTCACTGTCCTCCCGCCCTCATGCACCCCCCCAACCTCCCACACCGCTCTCTTGTTCTCCCGCTGCTCTCTCGCTCTCCACTGTGCGTTCTCACCGTCCCCTGCACTCTGTCTCACTGTCCCCGTGTGCTGGCTCAATCTCCTTTGCACTGGGCTCGCTCTGACCGCACCCCTCCCTTCCTTTGGAAACAATATCTCCTTTATTTGTTTGATTGAAAAGTGTCATGATCTTGAACACCTCTATGAAATCTTCCCTTCACCTTCTGTAAGACCAATCCCAGCTTCTCACTGAATGAGATGCTAATCTCTGGACCCATTCCTGTAAACCTCCACTGCACCCTCCCAGAGCCTTGACATCATTCCTATGGCTCCAGAATTGAGCATAATTCTTCAGCTAAGACTTAACTAGTGATTAATAAAGGTTTAGGCTAACTCCCTTAGCTGAAAGGGAGGCAGGCAGAAACAACTGACTTCAAATGATTGTTACCAGAAGCAAATCCAGGAAATGTTATATGTTACAAGGTGTAATCCTCCAAGCCAGTTTTAATAATTGAATTGTCATTCTACCAGCAGCTTTGCTGGGATTTGAACCCATGTTCCCAGTGCAATAACCTGACCCTGTGGATTGCTAGTCATAGAGTCATACAGCATTGAAACAGACCCTTCAGTCCAACCTGCCCATGCTGACCAGACATTCCAATCTGACCAGACATTCCAATCTGACCTAGTCCCATTTGCCAGCATTTGGCCCATATCCCTCTAAACCATTCCTATTCATCTACTCATCCAGATGCCTTTTAAATGCTGTAATTGTACCAGCCTCCTCTGGCAGCTAAAACCATACACACATCACGCTCTGCTCCCTGTATCCCTATATCTATGAAAAGGTTACCCTTCAGTTCGGTTTAAATCTTTCCCCTCTCACCTTAAACCTATGCGCTCTTGTTTTGGATTCCCCTACCCTGGGGAAAAGACCTTGGTTATTCACCATATGCGTGCCCCTCATGATGTTATAAACCTCTACTGGCCACTCAACCTCCTACGGTCCAGTAAACAAAGTCCCAGCCTATCCAGCTTCTCCTTATAACTCAAACCCTTCAAACCCAACAGCATCCTGGTCAATCTTTTCTGAACCCTTTCCACTTTAACAATACCCTTCCTGTAGCAGGACGACCAGAACTGGACACAGTACTCCAGAAGAGGCCTCACCAACATCTTGTACAACCTCAATATGACATCCCAATTCCTATGCTCAAAGGTCTGAGCAATGAAGGCAAGCATGCTAAACACCTTCTTGAGGACCCTGTCTACCTGTGGCGCAAATTTCAAAGAATTATGTATCTGAATCCCTAAGTCTCTCCGTTCTACAACACTACCAAATGCCCTACCATGAACTGTCTAGGTGCTTCCCTTGTTTGTTTTGTTCCAAAATGCAACATCTCACATTTATCCAAATTAAACTCCATCTGCCACTCAGGGACTGTTAATATTTAAAGAGGAAATCCAAAATGACGAGCAACAAACCAACAGAATTTCGCTGTAAAGTTTTGTGTTCTTCAAACTTGATTGTGACCTGAGTTTTTGTAAAGCTGGATAGATAGGTTTAGTCAAAGTGTCAAAAACTTTTGATTCTGGAACCTCCCAGCTTCGTCTCGTCGTGACTTAGTGAAAAGCTGAGACGGGCCCAAGAGACCCCCCCCCCCCCAAGGCCCCTCCTGTTGCGAATGTTCCACGGGTTACTCCTGAGTGGAAGAAAACTTTTGTCAGTTCTTGCCTGTCGTTGTTGTGTTTCCCAGATCCTGGAGTTGACCCTGATACTTGCCAGTTACATCAACCACAGCAACTGCCACTCATCGTTGACCTCGCCTAATCCTCCGCCTGCAAACCTCTCGGGCAAGAAGCTGTGGGAGATCGACAGCAAGCATTTCCCAAGTATGACGCGGACCACACAGGGTCCCACCTTGCTCTGAGACCCCAGCCCCAAGCAGCGGCTGAAGACACAGTGCTGTGACCCCGGCTACCAGAGGACAAACCACTTGGAAGATTCAAATGGCGCACGGATCACCGTTTGGACCTGGACCCTCTCTATTGCAGTCTGTATTTAAGTGCTCAAGTAGCGTTTAGACTTGATTTCTTTGTCGTTTTGATAGTTCACAAATTGCCACGGTACATCTCGTGTGAGCTCAGTGTGCCAATCCCAGCAGGCTCTGTGCCATCGGTGCTAAGGCTGGTCCATATGCAGTAAACCGAAACGGTGCAGGCTGTTGGGAAGGGCACCTGTTGTCAGGAAAAGCACCCTGAGCTGGGAAAGGCCTTTCTCCGAAGCTGTTTCCTCCTTTTACCCCATTCTGCCAAGGGTTGAGTGCTCTGTAAACAAAGCAGCACCCACTTCCTATTACATTATCTGATTCTGATGGGCTTCAGCACACAAGGGCAAGGTTATGACACAGATTTTGTTACCAGTAAATTGGCTTTGACTCCAAGGCTGTAAGGTTTCTCAGCAGAAGCCAGAGCCCTTTGCGTAAGAACGAGAGATGGATCACAGCAGCAGCAGGGCCACAGACCTCTTCTTTCAGACATCCTGGCACTGTCCTTTCGTCAGGCAAAAGAACCATCAGTGCAGTCAATTAAAGTCGCACTGGCACGTGTTAACTGAGGAACAACAGCATCCGGGTCTACCACGCCGGGCGTCTGTCTGTGTGGAGTTTGCACATTCTCCTCGTTTCCTCCCACAGTCCAAAGACGCGCAGGATAGGTGAGCTGGCAGTGCCCCGTAGTGTCCGGGGACGTGAAGGTTAGGTGAATTAGCCTCGGGAAATGCAGGATTACAGGGATGGTGGGGTGGGATGCTCTTTGGAGGGCCGTTGAGGACGCAATGGGCCGAACGGCCTGTGATTCTATACCAATCGGCACCGGGAATAGGAGTCTGCACCCACTACTCCTTCAGGTCCTACCGTATGAATGTGTTAGATTTGTAAAGCTCACGAAGCCTCAAGAGAATACACTGCTCTTCTTAAGTTTGGTTTCAGGCCGTCATGTAAGCAGACTGAGTATGTGCTGTTTTGAAGGATACCCAGCAGCAGGAACCTTCCTCAAACGCATGCCACCACAGTGCGAATGATACAGGAGTGACCCTTTGAACATAAAGCATGCTGGTCACAGAGTCTAAGTATTATTGAAGTTCCCCAAACTGAAGATCAATGTTACTTACAGACAACCTATGATTTCGAGCTCAGGTTTTCAGTCCCCAATCAGCGTGAACACGGGACTGAAGGGTGAGACCATAGAGTCCAGGCGAAGAGTCAGTCGAAGGCTGTCATTACCTCTAGGAAGATGAACCAAGGCAGCCTGTGAACATCTCTTCTCCATAAGCAACTCCTACCTTGAGAAAGTTGAGTTGGTGGTCCTGGTCATTTCCTTGCTTTACTGAAGTTGCTTGTACCATTGTAGCTACCTCAGAGGGCAGACATTTCATGAGGGTCCATCAGTGAACCAGTTGCTTTTCTGTTCCTCTGTTCCAGCCCAGCTTTCATTCCACCCCCCTCAGCTGGAGATTTTGTAATCATGCCCATTGCCATTACCACTACATAAAAACCGAAAGAACAGCGGATGCTGTAAATTGGGAACAAAAGCAAAGTTGCTGGAAAAGCCCAGCGGGTCTGGCAGCATCCGTGAAGGAAAAAACAGAGTTAATGTTTTGGGTCCAGTGACCCTTCCTCAGAATCCTTTTCTGGGGAAACCCTTTTCCCAGTTCGGAGGAAGGGTCACCGGACCCGAAACGTTAACTCTGTTTTTTAACTTTACAGATGCTGCCAGACCTGCTGAGCTTTTACAGCAACTTTTGTTTTTGTGCCATTACCGCTATACCTGATTCCACCAGGATCAGTTACATTCCGACCCCATTGCTGCTGGTTTTAAAACATACAGCCCTCATTGAGTTAAAGCAGTGTCCCTGGTGAATAATGTCACTTGACACAACCCCCACCCCCCCCAACCACCTGCCCCAACCAAATGACCCCAGTTCATTGGAAAACGTCCTTTAGTGCACTGACAAAACTGTCCAACAGTGTTCGTGGTTATCTTCTGCTACTGGTTTTGGCTTAGCCTGTTCTGTTACATTTACGATGCCCAGTGAGATTTGTGTGCAGTGTAACACCCGAGGTTTTGGGGAAAGAACAGTATCCTGTTTACTTTTGGTGTTAGGGGAATAGGCCTGACCAGTGAAGACTACGCTAGTGATTCCTTCACATACAGCCACAGGTGAACCTTGTCACCAATAGATGTGTAGCATTCTTTAACCACTTAGTTCTTTCACAGAGACTTGAAGATGACGTTTTTGTTCGAAGATCGGTACAAAGCCTAAACAGCCGATACAGAACAAATAACATTCTCACCGAGCACAGAGTGTTGTCCCTGACAATTGTGAGTGTAAATACACCACACTGTATAGTATATTATTGAATACTTGAATGTGACAGGGACAGACCCATTTCTGTGAATGGTTATGCCCAATGTTCTGTACCTCTTATTTATTCTAACTGTTGAAGTGAACACTGTGATTTTCACACTTAAATTTGAGCAGTTGCCTGTATTTTGGGAATCATGGTGTGATTTAAGAGGGTAATACTGGAATGTTCCCACACACCCTCCATCCATGACTGCTAGTAGTCAAAATAAAGTGCTAACATAAACATAGGTGTCTTGTCTACTGCCTAAAGGAGATCCATTCTACTATCATTACTCAAAGTGTTCCTGACCATTACCAAGTAGTGCTCCAAACCCATATTTAACTGATGTGTTAGATAGTACAAACGTATTATAAAAACAATGATCTGTAATGCTTAATTTTAATTCATAACCATGCAAAGTAATCTACACACTCTGTTCTTCAGTACCTTCATCACTAGCAACTTCAGTGCTGTATTTTTTAAGGTTCAGTCACATCACTGGCAGGACCATCGTTCATTACCCATTCCTAAATGCCCTCGAGATGACAGTGGTTGAAATGGTAAGCTACTTTCTTGAACTGCTGCGATGGACGTGCAGTAGGTATAACCACAGTACTGTTAAGGAGGGAACTCCAGGATTTTGACACAACCACGATGAAGGTATGACAATAGAGTTCCCAGTCCACAATAATGTTCCTTTGCACTACTGTATGATACTGGTCAGAAAGTTGAGAATTTTTTTTTTTTAAAGAATTTAAAACCAGCTTTATTGTCACATGTATTCCATGAGTACAGTGAAAAGTGTATAAATCACCACTTATGGCACCATCTTAAGTACCAAGGTACAGACTCTTAAGTACAAAATTCTTGGGGGAGAAACAATTAGAAAAGTAAAAGAAATAAAAAGGCCAACAATAAATTAGAAAAGTAGAGAAATAAGTGTTTAGAACAACAGTCTTTCCAAACTAGACCAAACAGGGAGTCCGAGTCCATGCTGAGGAAGGGAGATTTAAAAAGAGAAAGGGGGGAGAAAAAAAACACGAAGGAGTGGTGATGGTTTTGGGGGGGGGGGGGACAGACTGAGTAGACAAGCTCCAGCTCAGGAGTCCTAGTCCGCCACCATCTTGGAGACTTCGTGAGTTGCTGCAAGGCATCTTGAATATAGTTCACACTGCTGCCACTGTGCATCAAGGAGGACAGTGAATGTTTTTAAGGCAGTGGATTGGGTACCCAGAATCCAAAAATGGGTATTTGTCCCAAATGGTGTTAAGCTTCGAGTGTTTTTTGGAGCTGCTTTCATTCCATGAAAGTGGAGAGTGTGCCATCACACTTGTATCTTGTAGACTGTGAAATCAGGTGAGGGAGTTGTCTGAAAATACAAGATTTTTAATCTCTTATAGCTACAGTATTTATATGGCAATTAAGTTCCTGGTCAACGGTAACACCCAGAGTGTTGACGGTGGGGATTCAGATAAAAACATTATGCAAGGTCAATGGGAGCTGGCTAGATTCTCTTTTCTTGCAGATGATTATTGAGTGGTCCTTTCATGGCACAAGTGTTGCTTGCTACTCATCAGTCCAAGCCTGAAGGTTTTCCAGGTCCTGTTACATGCTTCACTATTTGAGAAGTTGCAATGTGGAGCTGACACTGTAACCATCCCCCACTTCTGACGTTATGATAGAGGGAAGATCATTAATGAGGCAGCTGACAACGGTTGGGCCTAGGACACTATGTTGACTAGAAAGTATCTATCCTGAGGAAACTCTAGGCTATTGCAGCACCATAGTAAACCTGTGAGCCAGAAAGCTCAGGTTCAAGTCTCACTTGCTCCAGAATTGCTTCATAATGTAAAATAAAGAACTGTGGCTGCTGGAAATCTGCAACAAAAACAGAAATTGCTGAAGAATCTCAGCACATCTGGCAGCATCTGTGAAGAGAAAGGAGAGTCAAAATGTGAAGAAGGGCCACAGATGCTGCCAGACCTGTAACATCTCACAATGTGTCTGAACACATTGATTAAAAATATTTACCCTAAGGAAATTCTGCAGGACTTTGACGACTGGCTTCCAAACCACAACCATCTTCCGTTAAGCTAGCAATGACTCCATTCTGGTGTCTTAACCAATTACAATTGGCTTCATTTTATTTCACGTTTGAACAACTGCTAGCTTGGCAGGAAGGGAAGCCACTCTCACCTTATCACATTTTTGAATTGTGCAACTAACTTACCAGCTTGAATTAGTGTTCTAATTCAGGCACCAACTAAAGGCAGCAAGAACTCAAAGGCAGTAGCTACTTCTGTTGCCGAAACTGGGAGTCAGAGCTGAAGTGGCAGTAAAGGGAGAGTCATGCTTGGGGGGGAGGGGGGGCCCCTTTGAGAGCAGCTCACTCGTGGAAAAAAGTGTTCAACCCCGATACATGACTCCATACATCAATTTCCCACATTGCTGTACTAAAGTACTCCAGTCACCCGACATTAGCCCGGTAGCTGTAGACTGGCTGTTACTTACCCTGATATCCCATCACATACTCAGCACCTCTATATTAACCCTTAGCCACCAAATGTGTCTTCACATATCCCATCACAAACCCCACTATCCATCTCACAACACTCCACCCGCCAATTATTCACCCACATAGTAATCCTTCCTACCACCACACCCATATGGCATCTCTCATTACCCACAACACAATTTCTACTATTCTTTTGACAGTCATTTGTAATTGAGTAATCTCTGAAACTCGCTCTACTTCCACACCTCTCATTAGAAAAGGTAACTATAATGGGATTTAAAATAAAGATGTGGTGATGGGAAAGACTGTCAGATTTGCACAGAACTCGGGTAGAAATAACCAGGGCTTCCTCACTTCTCTTCAAAGAAAAAAATGGAAGGTTGTTGCTGGCACACACTAAATTCCTGCAGTTGCTTCCAGAGCTTTCGTACTTTCCAGATCGCTAGATGAAGAGCAATTTTGTTTTGTTACATAGACAGTGGTTCGTGTGTGGAATTAACTTCTGGAGGAAGTGGTGGATGCAGGTACATTTACGATGTTTAAAAGACATTTGGATAAGTACATGAATAGGAAAGGTTTGGAGGGAGGTACTAGTTTAGTTTGGGATTATGGTTGGCATGGACTGGTTGGACCGAAAGGTCTGTTTCCCTGCCGTATGACCCTATAACATAGGAACAAAGGATGGACCTTGAACCTGTTCCACTATTCATTAAGATCATTGCTGATCTGGTCATGGTCCTGAATTTCACTTTCCTCTTCTGTTATAACCAGACGAGGAGAGCTGAAATGACACCTCTCATTCTCCCACTCCTCAGTTGACTGCAACTGATTTAATGTTTTAGAACTGAGAGAGGATGTGTTTTGTCCATTCTTTAAGTCTCCCTCAATTTACATTTTAAGCCTATGAAGAATTTGCTCAGACACGTTTTCTTAGATTAAACAAAGCACAAGATTCTCACATTCCGACCACTTAATCTGAACTATCTATATCTTTTCCCCAGCAGCATTCTATACCCCACCACCTCCCCATAATGTAAATGTTGCCCCCTCCATATTGATCTGATGAAGAGTCATCTAGACTCAACGTTAGCTTGCTGTCTCTCCACTGATGCTGTCTGACTCACTGTGGTCTCCAGCATTTGTTATTTTCAGTACAGATTCTGGCTTCAGCTGTAATTTGCTCCAACAAGATATATTTATCATCCAACTACTATTTGCACCTCTGCAAGACAGGAAGGACTTGTTAACACAACAATTTTGGTGGTGTCACACAAATATATATTTAGCAATGTAAGAGGATAGGCGTTCAAGAAGGTTAAAATCCAAGAGAGTTAAAACAAAGGAGTGTTTGGTTAGATGTTCCTTGACTGGGCTCAATACAGTGAATTCAACGTAATGAACACCAGGTTTTAAAAAATATCAGTTTGCAGACAGCTTTCTGTCAGAGCCGTTCATAAGTTCAAAGAGAGTGCACCACCTGCACAGGTAGTTTCTCAAGACAGCCTAAAACACAGGGGGCAGCACCAGCTGAAGGTCACAAATCTTTTAATGCTCACTCACCTGCTAACATATAACAGGGTACCAGAGGCTGCAGAACTAGCCTAAAAGCCAAACCCCTCCATTATCTTACTTATACAATCAGCCCTACCAATAAAATAGTTCAATACACTACTGGGTACATTTGAACGAGACATTAGGTACAGGTCTCTAGGAATAAACTCTGTTGCTGATTGTTACCAGTGGTTGTTGCTAGTTAATTAACAGAACTCTCACTTCCCAGTCAGTAGGTGGTGTGTTCAAGTTCCAATCCAGAAATTTGATCATAAATGCTAGGCTGACTCTCCACCACAGTTCAGTGTTTGGATGAGACATTAGAGTGAAGCCCCGGTCTCTCTCTCTCTCTCTCAGGTGGACATAAAAGATCCTAGTTCAAAGAAAAGCAAGGCAGTTCTCCCCGGTGTTCAGGTTAATGTTTATTCTTCAAATCAGCACAAGCTAAAACTGCTGATCAGATCATTAGCATATTGTTGCACACTTAACTGCTGCTGCATTTCCTACATTAAAACAGTGACCTCGCTTCACGAGTACTTCACTTGTATGCTGACAGATCGCATATTTGCACAAGGTGCAAGGTCAGGCAAGTCTTTTCTTTTCTCATGACCACGAGGGTGACAAAGAACCATCAGTCTGTTGTTCATTCAACTGTTCTGCATCCAAAGCTTTGTGCTCAATATGTTGTGGCTACTCCAACGTCCTTCTTTATGAACAGCCTCAACAACAAAGATGTCATTTCAAATAGGCAGTCACATCACTTGACAGTGGCCTAACGTTTGCTATCTGGTGGGACCATTTCCTTGGCTTTGCTGACAAGCAGTGGGAAGTGCTCTAACCTCTTCACAGTCTTCCTGCCACAGTCTTGTTGCAGAAGGATCATTTGATGGGCTGAGGGCTTACCTTAGACACCTATTTTTAAGAGGAAATAATGCCCTTTGAGGTCCGTTTCAACAGCAAGAGCAATCAATCCACACTCCACCTGAAAGAGAAAACTCCACATCATTCACTCACAGAGAACTATTTCCTGGAACAATGCTCAAACTTTAACTCCAACTCCATTTATTGAAATTCTAGCACAAGCCCAGGGTTTTTTGGATAAATATTACCCACCCCTCAAAGTCTCTGGCTGGGGTAGGGTTCTATGAGCACCAGTTGGTCTCCGGTATCTCACTATCATTAACACTTGGCCTGGACACCAAGGGCAGCTATTCTCTTTCCTCCTCTAAGACGCTCCTTAAATCCAAATGCTCTGGTTGTTTGTGCCCTAAAACATGTGGCTGGGTGCTTCATTTTTGCTTTCAAGCTGGCAGCTCACCACCACCTTTTCCAAGGCAAGTAGGGATTTGCAAGTAATGCTGTCCAGCTAGCAACTGCCACATGCCATGACCGGATGTTTAAAACATTTATAACCTACAACTATGAAGTACCTTGGGATGTTTCATTATGTTGAGATCACAGAGTCACAGAGTTGTACAGCACAGAAAAAGACCCTTCTGTCCAATTTATCCTTGCTGACCAGATATTCTAAATTAATCTAGTCCTGTTTGCCAGCATTTGGCCCACATCCCTCTAAACCCTTCCTATTCACGTACCCATCCAAATGCCTTTTGAATGTTGTAACTGTACCAGCCTCCATCACTTCCTCTGGCAGCTCTGTCCATACACACACCACCCTCTGTGAAAAAGTTGCCCCTTAGGTCCCTTTTTATATTTTTTTTCCCCCTCTCACCTTAAACTTATGCCCTATAGTTTTGGACTCCCCTACCCTGGAGGAAAGACCTTGGCTATTCATCCTATCCATGCCCCTCATGATTTTATAAACTTCTGTAAGGTCACCCCTCAGCCTCTGACGATCCAGGGAAAACAGATGCTGCCTTTTCAGCCTTTCCCTATAGCACAAACTTTGGCAACATCCTTGTAAATATTTTCCGAACTCTTCCCAGTTTCACAACATCCTTCCAAGAGCAAGGAGACCAGAATTGAACGCAGTATTCCAAAATTTGCCTAACCAATGTCCTGTACAGCTACAGCATAACCTCCCAACTCCTGTACTCAATGCACTGACCAATAAAGGCAAGTATACCAAATGTTTTCTTCACTATCCTGTCTACCTGGGACTCCACTTACAAGGAGTATGAACCTGCACTCCAAGATCTCATGGCTCGGTAAAAAAGACCCTACCATTAAACGTTGCTATACAACTATAAGTTGCCATTGTTTTATTGGTATTAGAAGGTAGCACAGGCAACATTTTCTCAACTTTATCCTTAGAGGACATTCATCACATGAAATTTCCAGTGGATAACAAAGAAAAGGAAGAACTTGTGGTTGTCTTTCTCCTCCTTAGCCCTGCATCAGCTCACTTACTACCCTGGTTAAACTCAGCCAACTTATCACAAGGCACCTTCTGGTGTGCGCGCCTTGGTGTTTTTTTTAAAGAATACTTAAACAGCAAGAGGATAACAAAGGGTAAAAGAATTAGAATCCAAAAACGTATGTTTTGCGTGGAAACAGATGACACAGACACGGTTCTTAATGAATACTTGGAATCTGAATTCACTAGAAGCGAAATAATTTGCCATGCCACTAAGAGTAGCAAAGGAGGAAATAGTGGACGTTCTGACCACTATTTTCCAATTCTCCTTGGTTACAGACATGTTGCCCACGACTGCTAATACTGTACTATTAGTTAAAAAGGGAGGCAGTAATTATAGGCCAGTCAGACTAAAATCAGTGCTGAGCAAATTACTGGAACAAGTTCTGAAGGACAGCATAAATTATGTAGAAAAGTACAGACTAATTAAGGACAGTCAACATATTTCCATTAAGGCAAGTTCATATCTGAATAACATGACTGAATTTTTTTTTGAAGTACTAAGAAGGGTCAATGAGAGCAGCACATTGGACGTATTCTAGATGAATTTTACAACCGCTTTTGACAAAGTCCTGTGTACAAACTGGTCAGCAAACTAAAAGCCTACAGGACCCAAGAAGCAATGTCGAAATTGGATACAAAACTGGCTTGGTGCAGGTTGAATATTACCTGTATTTTCGTGACCGGAAAAGTATTACTATAGGGTTGCACAGGCTTCTTCCTGGATCCTTGATATTTGTGGTTATGTATCACTGGCTTAGACTTAAATGTAGGGAACACGATTAAAAAGATTGTAGCTGATACAAAAAAGTATTTCTTGTTACTGGCAGAGAAAGAAATCTCTGGACTGCAGGAAGATATCAGTTGACTGGGGAAATGAGCAAGAAAAGTGGCAAAGGAAATTTATAAACTGTTGAAGTGAGGCAATGCATTTGAGCAGGGTGGAGGGGATCAACAAGGCAAGGAAATAGACAATAAATGGTGAAAAGCATAGAGGAACAGAGGGACTTTAAAGACATGCCCCAGAGATCTCTGAAGGTATCTAAGGTGGTTAAGAGGCGTAAGGTGCAAGGAGTCAAGGAACAGCAAAGCTATGCTTGAACTGTGCAAAGCACTACTTAGGCCACAGCTAGAGTACTGGGAACAGTCCAGGGAGGATGGGAATCACCTCACAGAAGGTACAAAGGATATTAATTAATAATGCTGCCAGGAGTTATTGCATTTTGGTAAAACAAACAAGGGCAGGACTCATGCAGTTAATAGTCGGGCCCTGTGTAGCGTTGTCGAACAGTGAGACCTGGGGGGTTCAGGTACTTAATTCTCTGAAATTTGTGTTACAGGTAGACAGGGTGGTTAAGAAGGCATTTAGCATGCTTGCCTTCATTGCTCAGACCACTGAATGTCATGTTGAGGTTGCACAGGATGCTTGTGAGGACACTTTTGGAGTACTGTGTCTAGTTCTGGCAGCCCTGCTGTAGGAAGGATATTATCAAAATTGGGGAGGATTCTGAAAAAAAAATTTACTGAGATGTTGCCAGGACTGTAAGGCTTGATTTAGAAGGAGAGACTGGATAGGCTGGAACTTTTTTCCCTTGATCAAAGGAGGTTGAGGGGTGACCTTACAGAGGTTTATAAAATCATGAGGGTGAAGAGCAAGGGTTTGGGAAGTTCAAAGCTACAGGACATAATTTTGAGATGAGAGGAGAATACTTTAAAAGTGACCCGGGGGTCAACTTTTCCACAACAGAGGGGAGTTTGTACATGGAACGAACTGCCAGAGGACGTGATAGATGCCGGTACAGTTACAACATTTAAAAGACATTTAGATAGGTACATGAACAGGAAAGGGTTAGAGGAATATGGGCCAAATGCAGGCATGTGGGACTAGTTTAGTTTGGGAGTATGTCCGGCATGGATGAGTTGGACCAGAGGGTCTGTTTCTGTGCTGTGCAACTCCACGAGTGGAGAAATTTACCTATAAAAAGGAAAGATTGGATCAATGATTAGAGAAGAGTGAAGCAGACTCTGGAACTCTTTGCCTGAAAGAGACCTTAATACAGAAGTATTTGGACCGGCACCTAACCTGCAGGACTATAAACCAAAAGAAGTGAAAAAAGTGGGATTAGACTGGATGGCTCTCTCTCAGCGATCAAGGATATAAGAGGTGAACTTTTATTTTTTATCTTCAGTACAATTTTTTTTGTAATCCTATGATTAATCATTATTTTTTGCTGAAAAGGATAATTAGCTGAGCACAGCCAGACAGCTAGCAGAAAACCAGCCAAGGTACAATGTAGCCCTTCACCAAGGCTTCTCAAAAAAAAAACCTCACTTCTATGCAAAGTGACACTGGGTATAATTGGAAATCAACATGGTTATTCAATGGATAGCACTGCTGCCTCCGGAACCAGATTCGATTCCACCCTCGGGCGACTGTCCGTGTGGAGTTTACACATTCTCCCCCGTGTCTGTGTGGGTTTCCTCCCACAGTCCGAAGATGTGCAGGTTAGGTGGAGTGGCCATGGGAAATGGAGGGTTACAGGGATAGGGTAGGGGGCCAGGTCTCGGTGGAACGCTCTTTCGGAGGGTTGGTGTTGACTCGACGGGCCGCACGGCCTGCTTCCACATCGTTAGGGATTCTATGATTTGAGCAAGTTCACTGGGTGAAGAAAATTATTGCGCGTCATCATTCCCATGTAGCCTATTCTCGCGTCAACTAACAAGAGCACAAGGGAAGAGTTTGCCATTACCTGAAACAGCAAGGACTTTCCTTGACTGAAGCTGGTTCACTGTTCCTCCTGTGTCTGTTGTAGGATTTCCTGGCAGCTTCTGTACACCTGCGATAAACAGTCCAGACGTGGCTTTGCACTCTTGAAAAAGGAAGTTGTGTGGCATTAGAAACCAGAGGACTTTCTTCTTTTCCCCCAAGCCTCACCATGATCCACACGGCCTGCTCAGACCTCGAACGGATCTTTTCAACCAGCCCCTCCACCCCACCTGAGACTCAGTCTGAGCAACGCTGAAACATACCAACTAGTTATAAATCAATCACTTCCTTACATAACTAGCAAACCCTTCCTTGTCAAAACCAACCTTTTACTATTTTGGCAGATATGGTGCTCAGAATCCAGACTGTAGTCAATAATCCACTGGAAACAGCACTCAGCAACTCAGTTCCGAGGAAGGGTCACCGGACCCGAAACGTTAACTCTGTTTTTTCCTTCACAGATGCTGCCAGACCTGCTGAGCTTTTCCGGCAACTTTGTTTTTGTTCCTGATTTACAGCATCCACAGTTCTTTCGGTTTTTACCACTGACACGGAAGACCTGTTAATTATCACGCTGCAGTTTGTGGGAACTTGCCAATTCACTGCAACATTTTAAAATTGAGACGTTGCCTGAAAAGCACTTGGGATGGCCTGAGGTCATGATGTGAAATATGTAAATGTCAGTTACTCCTTCTTTGGCTGAATAGTCTACCAAAATTCATGCACAAAACTCAGCGGTGAATAATGCCCAATTGGAAGCCTGGTGCTGCCACTATTGGAAGTTGCTTTCACGTACCAAGACAGAGAAGGAAGAAGGAGAAGGAAGCACACAAGATTTTTCAATCGTTGATGACCAAACCTGTACCCATCACCCCCATGCCCCCCGGCAGTGGACAAAGCTAAGGCCAAACTTGGCTGCAACCTACTTCACACTTCAGCACTTACAAAGTGACAGCACTTGAGATGCAGGGGAAATGTCAGTGCCTCGTATAGCTCATTCAGGTGGTGGACGGTAAAGAGAAGCAGAGAGGAGGAATCATCATTTACACTCACAACCTTTTGATCTCGCTGTGTTTTACCTGGAATACTGGCACCACCTCGGACACTCCTGTGGGGTTTCCTGGGTCTATCAGCAGAATGCACAGGTAGTAGATAACTTTCTGCTGCAAGGGAGAAACAAATAATCTTCAACAATAGGTTTCACCGCACCCATCTCCACAGCCTTTTCTAAAACACAAATACCTCTGGAACTGCTCCGTAAGATCGGGTGAAGGTATTGCAGCTGCATCCATCCAGGGAAGTGAAGAATATTTCACGATACCCCTGAGGTTGCCTCACAGGCAAAAGGAAAGCTTGTAGAATTTATGGGTGAGCCACATACCTTCCATAACATACCTGCTCTAGCAGCCATATATGTGGCTGTTGGGTTTCTGGTCGGTGCTGGAATTTAATGACGGTGACATAAATGTCGAGATGTGATGAGCCTCTCTATTGTTTGTAGAAATACCCATAGCCTGGCAGGCATATTACAACAAACATTACTTAGCATTTATCACGCAAAAACCTGACTGGCTACATACAGGCATGGACTGCTGTACCCAAGGTGTTACGAGGAAGTAATTCACAAAACAGTACTAAATTGTGGAGTCTAGTGCAGTATCCTGGTGAAATCATACTGTAATCAGGAGTGATTGGTGGTTAGAATGATTAACCAACAGTAACTTGTAATTTATCTCACAGCTTTAATGTTATGAAAGCCACAAGATGCTCTACAGAAGCAATCTTCTGTTTCTCGAGCACTCTGTCCGAAAGGCAGGATGAAAACACAGTATCTCATCTCATTGCAGTAGATCCCGAATTCACCCCCCATTATTGGGGCAGAGTTCCATGCTGCTGGTCCCCACTTGGCATCAGCCAGCTAAACCAATGTCACGCCCACCTCGCATACACCAGAGTTGCTGCAACACCAAACAAGTTCACATGCATCTTGGGGAGTGATGGGAGAGACTCCAATTCATGGGAAAATCATATGGATGGCCTGCTATTATCGCCTCCCATTCAACCCATTGTGGGGTAAATTGCAAGGATTTACCCAGTTGCTCCTCAGCCTATCTGGCTGTATAATGAACACATATTACGATTACAATAACGGCGCATTCAAACCCCGAGTTTCTGCTTGGAAGCAGGGACTTTACACACTGAGCCATAAGACTTCCTAGGCATGAATATTACCAAACAAAATTTGATCATTTAGCCATCTCTCCTAGGTATGACTCTAATCACTGAAGGGCTCTGCTCTCAATCTCGATTCACCTCCGTTTTATCAGGACTTCTCATTTGGTTAAGTGTTTTCAACTCTAGAATTCCATTCTTCGGTCCAAATATGGATCAAAGCCATGTTTTGATTTCCCTCACAAAAGCAGAAATTGCTGGCGAAACGCAGCCAGTCTGGCACCATCTGTGGGAAGAAAGCAGTTGCGAGTCCAGCGACTCTTCATCAGAACTGGTTTGGAAACGTTAACTCTGCTTTCTTCCCACAGCTGCTGCCAGACCCACTGAGTTTCGCCAGCAATTGCTCTTTCAGTCTTAGACCTGCAGCTGTTTGTTTTATTACTTTGATTTCCCTCACCCACTATACGAAGGAGCCTGTAGAGTTCAATGACACTGCCAGATGACCAAAGCCCCTCACTACAGAGCAGCCAGGTCAGGATGCTCAGTCAATATCAATTGTGGTGAAAGAGCCAGAAACTTTAATTCTACATTGCCCCTCACAGACGCTGCTGAGTATTTCCAGAATTTTGTTTTAAATTCCAATTTCCTTCAGCCACTACTTGTTAGAATGAGAAAAGGTCTTCCTTCCCCATAGCTCTGCAACCTTCTCCTTTTTGAACATTTAGCCTATTCATTTTCACTATTATTCCACTCCCTCCCCCAACAAATGCAATTTTCCCTCTGCCCTCCAGTTTTAAATTGTCTTTTAGATCCAGATCTTTCCCATTTACCTGTTATATTTTTTTAAAAACAATCTGTTTTTCACCTCCTACACTTAATTCTGTTTCCGTTTTGACACTCCGTCAAGACTTTCTATTCCCACCTCTCCTCCCTTGCCCCATCTGTCACATTCTCTCACATTCCAGCTTTAGTCTCCAGCATCCTGTCTGTTCCACCTTGCCCTAGTGCTTTTCAGTGAACAACTACTCATTTCATATTGTTCAAAGATTCTTTCTTTGAATGTGTATAATTCTGAAAGTTTACATTTTCTTAATTTACATTTTTTGTATTCCTTTAATACTTCACGACTTAATTTTAAAAAAATCAATTCAAAGGCATTTCAATACGTATGGATTCAGAAATAAAATACTGTGGATCTTGGAAATCTTGAAATAAAAACTAAAAATGCTGGAAACACTCAAGGGGACAGGCAGCATCTGAGCAGCAAGAAACAGAGTTTATCATTTCAGATAATTTGTCAAAGTTGGGAGAAGTTAGAAGTTTAACAAGTTTTGAGGAAAACAGGAAACCAGCTAAGACAGAGTGGAGTGGCAATTTCCCATCTTTGGTGACCCTAGCTGATGAGAGTTGGGAGCTCTCAGTAATGGAAGCTCAAGAAACAGCATTTCATTATCCAGTTAGGTGCTTCCATGGGGTTCAGTTTAGTTCAGTTGGCTGGAAGGTTGGGTTGTGAAGCAGTGTGATGCCAACAGCATGGGTTCAATCCCCACATCAGCTGAGTTTACCATGAAGGACTCTCCTTCTCAACTTCTCCCCACGCTAGAGGTGTGGTGGCCCTCAGGTTACATCACCAGTCGTCTCTCTCTCTCTCTCTCGCTCTCTCTCTAATGAACCAGAAGCCCATGGTCTGACTCCCAATACACATTTCAACAGTAGGACACTTCAAAAGAAAAAAAATAATTACTGGAGGTGATGAAAAGCAGTGTACCAATGTGAATTCCTATCCTGGCCTATCACAATTTTCTGAAAGCAACTATACAATTCTCAAATTTCATGTAGTGTTTATTACAACATTAAAGACAGAAGGTAAGAACTTTCCTGATGCAGTTTCTCCAGGACTGAATAGTTTAAACGAGGAAAGTGCTCAAACGTTAAACAGTCCTTCATGTTCAGGCTCCATATTTGTTGTTTCTCTGCAGTTGAGTGTCAGTAACTTAAGGAATCATTACTCCGTCTCACTTACCATATAAATGGCTTCATTGATCACAATATCTTTCACCTTCCTCATCTCAATGAATCTCACGCTCTCTCTGCCAGAAGCATACAAGGTGTTCATCTGGACTCCAATCGATCCAATGATCAGCATTGACTCCTGATCAATCTTAAATAAATGGAGGTGCAGCATCATCCCAACGAGAGTCAAAACAATGGAAGCTGAGAGCACTGAAGTGTTCTGCAAGAAGCAATTTGCAACAAAGACTATCAGGGCATTTCCCGCAACCTGTTCATGAAGCCAACTTGAACTTTTAATAATGGAAACTGAAAATGCTGGAAGTGCTCAGCAGGTCAGTACCCAGTTCTGATTAAAGATCACGGACCTGCAACGTTAACTCTGTTTCACTTTCTACAGATGCTGAGTTTCTCCAGCATTCTCTGCTTTTATTTCTGATCTCCAGCATTCATAGTACCTTGCATGTATTAGAAACTGTCCTTTATTTTGTATCACCTCCTATTAAAATGCATCACTACAGATCTGTTATTATTAAATTCCATCTGCTATATGTCCATCCAATAATTCTGCCTATGTCCTCTTGAGGTCTATTACTTGTCCTCTTCGCTGTTCACAACAATACTTCCAAATTTTTTGTCATCTACCAATTACATTTAAGTGCATTTAAGTTTATTGTCATTATATAGATCAAGACTAACAGTATGATCCTGGTACTGATTCTAGAGGGAACCCTCCTACGCAACTTCCTCCTATCCAAAACAAAAACAGCTTTTTATTACTACACTGTCTCCTGTCACTCAACTAACTGCATAGCCAACGATACCACTATGTCTTTTATTCTGCAGGGTTTAGCTTTGTTGCAGAGCCAGGATGTGGCACTTTAATAAATACCTTTGGGAAGATGATTCACACTACATCAACTGTACTTCCCCCATCAACCCTCTGCATGAGTGCAGCAAAAAAAAACTCAGTTAGTCAAATGATTTGCTTTAAATAAATCTGTGCTGTCTTTTGTTTGTTAATCCACACTTGCTTACTGACTGCTCATTACGTCCTATATTATCTCGACTGCTTTCCACTAGCGAGGCTAAACTGACTGACCAATAGCTGTTGGGATTATCTTTATATCCTTTTTCAACAAGGGTGTAACATTTGCCCTCTGGCACAAATAAGTATTTGAGGAAGATAGGAAGATTATGGCTAGCAACTCTGAAATTTCAACTCTTCACATTGTATCCAGTCCTGGGAGTAAATCGACTTAAATGTACAACCAGCCTGTCTAATGTTATGTCTTTATCAAGTTCCTCAAGGTTGTGTCCTTGGCGGAATTGTACTCAACTGCTTTCGTCAATGACCTTCTCTCCATCACAAGGTCAGAAGTGGGAATGTTCATCAATGATTGCACAATGTTCAGTACCATTCATTACTTCTCAGATACTGATGGAGTCCATGTCCAAACGCAACAAGTTGTGGACAATATTCAGTGTGGGTTAACAAACGGCACGTCTCTGTCTCTTTCTCTCTCACACACACACACACTTCAACAAAAGAAAATCTAACCATCACCCCTTGATATTCAATGGCACTACTACCACTGAATCCCCCACTATCAATATCTATTGACCAGAAACTAAACTAGTCTAGTCTAGTCATACAAGTACAAAAGTGGGTCAGAGGTTAGAATTCTTGCATGCCCATAATTCCCAAAGCCTGTCCAGCATTACAAGGCACAAGGCAGATGTGGAACAGAATACCTTCCATTTGCCTGGATGGGTGCAGTTCCAACAACTCAAGAAGCTTCACACTATCCAGGTCAAAACAGTTGGCTGATTGGCACCATGTTCAAATTCACTCCATCCACCACTAATGCTCAGTAGCTGTAGTGCATACCATCTATAAGACGCACTACAGAATTCACCAGGTCTCCTTAGACAGTACCTTCCAAACCCACATCAATCTAGAAGGACAAGGGCAACAGAAACATGGGAATACCACCACCTGCAAGTTCCACTCCAAGCCACTCACAATACTGACTTGGAAATATATGACCGTTCCTTCACTGTCACTCGGTCAAAATCCTGGAACTCCCTTCCTAAGGGCTCCCTCTACCTACAGCACCTTCTTCTTAAGGGGTAGCTAGAGAGAAACAATAAATGATGCCCATGTTCTAGGAGTGAGTGAAGGAATGAATTTATATTTAGTCCACCCATTAGGAGTCATCACTGATGGAAAAGACAGGTATAAAAAGTGTTCATTTAGTACCTCAGCCATGCCCTGTAGATACTCCCAGGTTGAGGAGGCTGAGCTACTCCTTAGCACATCGCTCACCTGTTGAACCTGAGGAGTCACCTGTTAGGGCATTGCGCATGTGCGAAGCCGGACGGCGCAGGGCTGGGCGTGGTCAAGTCCTTGAGTGACAGGAGCATGGGCCAATCGGCCTGGGCAGCACCGAGGACGGGGCGTTCCCAGGCTGTGACTGATGGGAGCGTGAGCTAATCTCAAATCGATCACTGCCCGCCTCAAGGGCGGGGAACATACGTCATCGGGCCCCCTCGTCCAATTAGTAGGTGACCGCTCCTCCACCCCCCCCCCCCCCCCCCCCGGGGCCCACCTATCTACCTGTGTCCTGTAAAAGATGGCGTAAGCGACCAGCCAGATGGCGGCCGTGCATCCCAACACCGAGCGCAGCGACATTTTCGGCGACAGGATTGTGAACTCGCGGCAGAGCGGCGAGTGGTGTCTTTGTTCGAGGGTGATGCAGCGGCCGCTGAGGTCTTTGAAAGTCGACGCCATGTCTCCCACGGCCGGCTGGGCCCACTGCTGACGTCACGCCGTTGGCTGCGCCTGCCCACGTGACCGCGTGGGACGCCTGGCCTTTTAAAGGGAGATAGTAGGAACTGCAGATGCTGGAGAATCAGAGACAACAAGGTGCAGAGCTGGATGAACAGAGAGGCTGACGTTTCGGGCCTAGACCCTTCATCAGAAAAGGGACAGTCCACCCCCACCGACGAACCAGGAGGAGCACCTTCAAACAGCTGAAAGGTGCCAAGGTGCACTTACATTGCAGCTAGCATCATGAAAATAGGGAACTTCCCTCACTATCAACATCAAGGGGCTAATAATTAAGCAGCAACTCGACTGGACTTGCCATATAAATAATTGAATGGTTACAAGATCAGGTCAGAGGTTAAAAACACTCGCCTCCTGACTCCCCAAGGCCTGTCTATCATCTACAGGGCATAAGTCAGGGGTGTGATGGAATACTCCCCAGGTGCCTGGATAATTACAGCTCCATTGACACAGCTTGATGCTACCGATGATCAGCTACAGCATTGTGTGCTGTCTACATAAGATGCACTGCAGAAATTCAAAGACCCTTAGATTGTGCCTTCCAAATTCATGACCGGTTCCATCTAGAACATAGTCAACAGTGAAGAAAGTTATGTAAGATTACAAAGGAAATCTCAATCAGTTGGCCAATGGGCTGAGGATTGGCAGATGAAGCTTAATTTGGATAAATACAAGGTATTGCATTTTGGTACAACAAACAAGGGCAGGTCATATACAGTTAATGGTAGGGCCCTGGGTAGTGTTGTCGAACAGGTAACAACTCTTTGAAAGTTGCATCACACATAGGTTGGTTAAGAAGGGGTGTATGTGTGTGTGTGTTTGTTAAGAAGGTGTTTAGCAAGCTTGATTTCATTGCTCAGATCTTTGCGTATAGGATTTGGAAAGTCATGCTAAGGTCGTACAGGATGTTAGTGAGGCCATTTTTGGAGTACTGTGTACATTTCAGGTCATCCTGCTGAAGGAGGGTTCGGAAAAGATTTACCAGGATTTTGCTGGGAATGGAGGGTTTGAGTTGTAAGAATAGGCTGGGAATTTTGTCACTGGAGCGTAGGAGTTGACAAGTGATCTTAAAGATTTTTTTGAAATCAGGAGGGACATGGATAAGTTAACTGCAAAGGTCTTTTCCCTAGGGTGGGTGAATTCAAAACTAGGGGACATATTTTTAAGGTGCAAGTAGAAAAATTTAAAAGGGACCTGAGAGACAACTTTTTCACGCAGAGGGTGGTTTGTGTGTGGAATGTACTGCCAGAGAAAGTGGTAGATGCAGGTACAGTTACAGCATTTAAAAGACAGTTGGATAGGTACATGAATAGAGAAGGTTTAGAGGGATATGGACCAAATGCAAGCAAGTGGGGTTAGTTTAGTCTAGGGAAACTTAGTTGGCATTGACAAGTTGGACCAAAGGGTCTGTTTCCATTCTGTATGACTGTTTGGGAAAACACCCCTGCAAGATCCCGTCCAAGCCATTCACTATCCTGATGTGGAAATATCAGCATTCCTTCACTGTCATTGGGTCAAAATCCTGGAATTGCCTCCCTCAGGATGCTGTGGTCTACCTATAGCACATGGGCTGCGACGGTTCAAGAAGGCAGTAAGGGGCGAGAATTAACTGCTGACCAGCTAGTGATGCCCACATTCCCCTCAGTGAATTTAAACAAAATAGAGAGATTTCCACAGCTACCCTGCTGGTTCTTTCCCGGCATTTTCTGTTCATTACAGATTTCCAGCATCAGCAGTATTTTACCTTGTAAAATGCCAGAATTCCTGTTGAAAGGCCAGTTAACAAAACAGCCAGTGATTGAAACTATAATACAAAGTAATCAATTCCTAAAAGAAAGGTGCTGTTTTAAAAAAAAGAAGAAATAACAAAAGCTGTGGTGTGCATCGATTGTTAGAAGAGGTCTGTGGCTAACCTTTTGTTTTCCCCTGCTTTTGTTTTTACGTGGGATGTGTACTTAGAAGGCAAGGCCAGCATTTGTTGCCCACCTTGAATCTGAGTGGCTGGTCTGGCTATTTAAGAAGGCACTTCCACCATTTTGCTGTGGGTCTGGACTCTGCAAGGTTGGCAGATTCCCTTCTCTAAAGGACATTAGTGAACTAGTTGAGATTTTATAACAATTGATGATGATGATGATGATGATGGTCGGTCATCTTTGCTGAGACCAGCATATTTTTCCCGTGTGTTAATAAATGGAATTTAAATTTCACCAGCTGAGATCTGAACCTATGTCTTCGGAGCATAAGTCAGGCCTCAAGATTACCCATTCCGGCAACATAACCACTACGTCATCAATTCGGGATTTGATGCAGAGTGATAGATTTTGGTGGAAAGATACAAAGCAAAAGGGGGCAATTCTAAAAATAGTCCAGCATCAGAGAAGCCTGGGGCCATAAATGCACAAATCATTGAAGGTGACGAGGCATCTTGAAATAATGCTGTGAAGGCATAAGGGATCGTGAGCCTTATTAGTTAAAATGTTGACTACACAAGGGAGAACGTTTTAGTGAGTCCTTATAGAACACTGGTCTGATTTTGACTGGAGTATTGTGCTCAGTTTTAGGCACTGCGTTTTCAGACGGATGTGAAGGCCCTAGGAACGGTGCTGGAAAGGGTCACGAGAGTGGGTCCCGGTATGAGGTACCAGGTTAGATTGGAGATGCTGAGGTCGTTCTCCTTGGAAGAAGTTAAGACGATATTGGACGAAAGCATTCAAAATCTATGGAGTCTAAGTAGAGTGGTTAGGAGGCAATGTGTTCCTATTGGCAGAAAAGTCATGAACGAGAAGACAATGATTTAAGGAGATTGGCAGAAGAAACAGTAGCTTTTGTTTTATGTGATGGGTGATTATGATTTAGAATGCTCTGCCTTAGAGCGCAAGGGTGTCAGATATAATTTTGACTTTCTAAAGCGAATTGCATAGGAAGTGGTGTAGAAAATCTGGGACTGGGCAGGGTGAGGCTGACTGATTTCTCTTGTAGAGGGCTGGCATGAATTCAATAGCCTTCATCTATGCAGTAACCATTCAATGATGCAATGGTCAGGGTGCAGAATGAAAAAACTGTCCACCAAACCTTACACGTTCTGTCCATCTGCCATCAGTGCAACATGGCTTCAGAGTGTACCATCAGCAAGACACACTGCATCATCCCACCATAGCTTGTTTGATCGACTCCTTTCAAACCTGTAGCTTCCAACACCTTGACAAACAGGAATAGCAGATACAGGGGAACAGCATAATTTCCATGTCATGTATCAACCTGACATGAAAATATTTAAATCATTGCTGCCTTAAAATCCTGGAACTTCCTCCCTGACAGCAATGTATTTGTAACTACGCCACATGCATTACAAAGGTTCAAGAAGGTGGCTCATTACCACTTTGTCAAAGGTAATTGGGGGTGGCAAATAATGCTGCCCTTGCTAGTGACTCCTACGTAAGGAAGGACATTGGCTACAAAACAAATCCCACGAATTAAGGAAGGTTCGTCACTCTGCCAGAAAGCATTAATTATTGAATAATTGATTTAAGTACGGGACCACTAATGTCTGCTAGATATATAAATGACGCAGACTAAGAAACGGGAGATATCAGAATTTGCAGCTAATTCAAATTGGTATTATCTTGAAATGAATTTTAATCTAGAGAAGTATTTCAGACCGTGGAACAAGGAAGCTAGTTTTTAAATAGGGTAGAGGAGTGCGATGGTCTCGAAATACAGACACATTAATATCTGGAAGATCGTAATAATTATAAATGAGGTTTTGGAGTTCACTTCTAGAGGCAAATGAATACAGAGCTGGGAGGTAATGTAATTTTATGGAGAACCTTGGTTTGAGATTGAGTAATGGGAGCAGATCTGATCTGTACCTTCTGGAAAATGCACAAAGGTTTTACTAGGATATTGCAAGATTTCAGAGGCTGCAGCTGTCGAAGGAAAAAATGAAGCAGGCTCGAGCCGTTATCTCTGAACAAGAGAGGACTGAGAGGCGACCTGATGGATATCTTGAAAATCAGGAAGGGGTTTGACAGGGTGCAGAAGGAAACCTACTTTCAGTTGTGGAAGCTTTGAGATCAAATAAAACATAGAGGAATTTCTTGCAGAGAGAGTAGTGAGAAAGATCTCCACCTCATGGAGTAGGCAGAGCAAATTACGTTGATGGATTTGAGTAGAAGCTTGATTCACACATGCAGGAGAAGCCATTGGAGCAGCACTGAGGTAGTGTGGGAAGAGGTAATTACTGTGGGAGGATGCTCATGTGGAGTATAAACATTGACACAGATCAGATGGGCTTAATGACTTGTTTCAGCACAGTTAAATCCACCTATGGAATATGGCAATGTTACATGTCCCATCTGCCTCATAAAAGACCTTAGAGCACGATTTCAAACTAGTCCACATACCGGTGCCCTAACCAACATTCATGTCTTAACCAATTCCATTTCGCTAGTCATTTCACAATAGCCTTGTGGATCTGAAAGGCCGTTTGGCCCATTTGATCCATTCATTTAGACAAATCTGGAGCATCCCTGCTCTCTTATGGTATCTACATATTGCTTAAATTACTCCAGGAGTGTTCACTACTCCATGTAAAAATACCCATTATAGTTCAGTGGGTAATGCTCTTGCCTCAAGAGTTGGAAGATCATGGGGTTGAGTCTCAATCCGAAGACCTGAGTATGTGATTTGAGTTGACAGTCCAATACAGTGCTATCAGAGGTACTGTTCTCTGGTGAGTCGTCAAACCGATGCCCCAGTTTCTCTCTTAAGTGGATGTCATCCCTCCTTTGATGCAATTAGGAGATGTCCACTCCAGTTTCCTGACCAATATTTCTCTGTGGCCAACGTTGCTGAAAGAGACAGTCTGGTCATTATCACTGATAACACAGTATCGAGCTGGAGGAACACAGCAGGCCAGGCAGCATCAGAGGAGCAAGAAAGCTGACATTTTGGGT